GGCTATAGTAGTTGTTCCATAGCAGAAGAGCCAATAATAGCAGTTGAGACACTAGCAGTTACAACATAGCAGTTGATCACCCCCATAGCAGTTGAGTATCTACCGAGACAGCATGCGCGCCGCAGAGAAGCAATTTATCTGCCCCTCTCCCCCCATATCTTATCTATAACTCCACCCAATTCCAGACGCCAAACGATGTGCGGAACGATGGACTACCTGCCTCCAGAGATGGTCCAAGGCATGGCACACAGCGACGCAGTCGATCTATGGGCGATTGGAGTGCTCTGCTATGAGTTTCTCGTCGGCAATCCGCCATTCGAGCACGAGAACCAAGGCGACACCTATTCGGCTATCAAAGAAGCCAAATTCGAATATCCAGACTACGTCAAAAAAGGAGCCCGTGATCTGATCGGTAAGCTGCTCGTCATCGATCCGAAGAAGAGAATTTCGCTGGAGCAGGTCAAAACGCATTATTGGGTGGAGATGATGGTGGAAACGAGAAGAAGAGCTGAGCAGAGAGAAGCAGGTGGTACGAAGACCCGTCAATCGACACGCCTTCAAAAGAAATCAATTGTCTCATGATGCCATATAGAAGATCTCGATTTGTATTATGTAGTTTTATCATTATTATTTTTGCAGAACATAAATTATTTGCATGTGTTTTCCCCTTCGTCAAATTTTTTAGGCTCGTCTTCAGTGTTGAATGTAACAAGTAAGCGCGCTCTGTTGCAATTATCCATATTTTTGGAGGTAATTTGAAATTCCTATAACTTTCAAAAACCTAAACCCCAAAACATTTTATTCTGACAAATGATTTTATTGCAAAACAAGGGTCATTTGATTTGCTCCCTATGGGTTGTACTCAATCGGGAGGTTCTTACGACGAACCATACCGTCTCCTTGGAACCACTCACGACGGAATTGCTTGGCGGCACCGTCTGGCGTGTTGGTCCACTCGACAGTGATACGGTCGTTGTTAGTGTCCTGAAAAATCAATAATCAGGAATTTTTCCAAAAATTTCCAAAAAAGTTCCAAAAAATCGATAATTTACCTCTTGTCCGTAAGCGAAAGCATCGCAAGAGACGGCAAGAAGGACAGCCTCCTTTGGATCGAGAACTCCGCATGGTGGGTCGACTCCAAGACGTTTCATGTTGGTCGTCTTGATTCCGTATCCAATACGACGAGCGGATGAGTTGATCACCTTGATGTGATAGGTGTGTTTGTCGTCGTACGGGGCGTTGAAGACGATCTTGGCGTTGGGTTGGGTCTGGATGTCTCCTGGTGGGACGGATTGAGCCATGGCGATTTGGAGTTTGGAACTCTATGAGGTTTCTATTAGAGGGAACCTTCTTATATAGTGATTTCTTATCTCTGCTCTAGATCTTTGTTCCAGAAACCTCTGGGCAGAGACGGGGAAGGGGTGGGTTAGTTCACGAGAGGAAAATTATTCCGTGGGCACAGTGAATTTTTTGTATGTGTTTTTTCAAAAGGTTCAATTCGCGGGCTCTGCCTTACTGTAGGATCGCATGCTAACTGCGTGGCGACTCAGCGATACGTAGGCATTTTTCTCATTTTGTTGAAAAATTAGAAAATCAGGCCGTAAGCTTTTTCTCACGTGTTCAGAAAGTGTCCCCCAACATTGCATTTTTTCAAACGCCCGCGAAAGTTTAGCTCCGCCTACTGGGCGTGGCTGGTCGATTTACGAAGGCTTCTCACTTGTTTTTTA